CCAATATAACTAATGGAACATGCACTGATTTTCTAGATTATATAGTAAATTTAAAAGAAATATAACCCACAACAAACTAAGCAAAAAAATACCGTATTTACTCAGATATAAGAAAGTGTTTAGATGGCCTCTATAGCAGGTTATAGCATATTAGATGACCTCTATAGCAGGTTGTTGCTCAGTTCTTTGTTTTTCCTGGGGCAAACTTGTCTCCATAAGGAAAACAATGTCCATAACAAAGACATTTAGACAAACAACCATACAAATCAACAAAGGGTTAACTCATAGCTATGGTCCTTCCTCGGACCTGGAGAGAGGACACTGCAGCTTGGTGCTACCTCCTCTTCCCCGCCCTCTTTTCTCTCTTCCCCAGCTTCCCCCTCTCAGAGCTTTTAACTCCCTTGGGATTGGTAATCATCCCTCTCAGCTGGTCCCCATCTCCCTGAGCAGGCAAGCAACTACTCATTAACCCCTGGCAGCTGGGCTGTTGTCCTGGAGCTATGCACCCAGTTATACATCCCCCTCTCCCAAGAGTAGAGTGCAGGATACACTTTTCCTTTTTTTCAATCCCTTTCCCACCCTCTCAGGACAAGTAGTCTACATTCATGTGTGCCGACTCAGTGATGTGTTGCAAAATCAAAAGGTTGTAGAGACAGGTACCATCCCGGCAACTAGGGGATGGCCTCCCACATGGCATTAAGTCATGTTAAAGGGGCATGGTCGGTGACCAAATGGAACCAGGCCCCCTAGGAAGTACTAACAGAGGGCCTCAGCCACCCACTTCTTTGCTAAGCATCCCTTTTCTATGAAGGCGTACTTCTGCTTCTGGGGAAAGAGGTGCTTACTAAGGTACAGAATGAGGTTCTCCATCCTCAGACTCTTGGGAAAGAACTACCCCCAGGTCTCACTCCAAGGCACTGGTCTGTAATATAAATTATTTTGTCAAGCTCATGCTGCACAGGACTGGCACACTGTATAGCAACTGTTTTACTTCCCCAAACACCATCTCACATTTGAGTGATCACTGAACCCTGTGTAGTACTCCTTTCCTCAGCAGGCCAGTCAAAAGGGCTGTGATGGCTGCAAATCATGGGATGAAGCACTGGTAGCAGGTGGCCAAGCCCAGAAATGACTTCACTTCTTTAATTGTCAGCATTGGTGCTTCCACCAAAGCCTTTACCATGCCAACTAAGGACCTGATTTTCTCATTGCCTAGTATATATCCCAGGTGACATCTAGCCAGGTTAGCCATTAGATCAGCTTCTGGTATTGACTGGAATACTTCTTGCATCTGCTGGGGGCATTCTGCTCACATATTGGTAAATATTATCACATTATCTAGATAAGCAGCCACATATGCCCCATGCAGATGAAGTACTTTGTCCATTAACCACTTCTGAGGCTCTGTATAAACTGAAAGGTAATGTTTTGAAGTGGTAGGTGTTGCAAGGTGTTGCAAAGGCTATAATTTCCTAAGACATGGAATCCAAATGGATTTGCCAGTATCCCTTAGTCAAGTACAAGGTGTTTATATACTTGGTGTTACCTATTCTCTCCATCATCTAATCTATTCAAAGCATAGGGTACATATCATATGTTGAAACCACTTTAACTTTGCATAAGTCAATACAAAACTGGATGGTGTGGTCGGGCTTTTGCACCAACACAGTCAGGCTACTCCACTCACTGCCCAATTCCTTGATTACCCCTAGGTCCAACATCTTTTTAACTTCCTGTCTTACCATTTCCTTCAGTTGGACAGGGATTCTCAAGTGTCCCTTTTGACTTGCACAGCCTGGCTTGAGGATAATCCAGTGTTCTATTTATGTATCCTGGCCCTGACCCCTAGCAAACAACTCTTTAAATTCCTCCAGGAGGCTCTTTATTACTGCCCGTTGAGTTGGGGTCAAATGTCTCCCCAAGCTTGGGACCCACTATCAGATCCGGGAGTGGATCCAGAATCTTTAGACCAGCTTCCAGTAGACTTGTAAAGACCAGACAGGCCTCTCAAGATTTCCAAGGTTTCAGCAGGTTAATGTGGTATATCTGTGACCCTCACCATTTCTTCACCAGGCAAACCTCATAAATGTATGTGCCCTACCCTCCACAGGACCTCAAGAGGTACTTGCCACTTTGCTAGTGACTTGATTTAACCCCACCAGATCTAACTTCTCCCACAGCTTCAAAACATACCAAACTATCGTTTGTGTCACGGTCCCCTGGACCGGCCAGGACTCTTACAGGAAGTCCAGCATGCCCTAGGGCTGCCTCCCATACAGTAACTCAAAGTGCAAAAGTCCTGTGAAAGACTGTGGAACATCTCAGATAGCAAACAACAGGTAGGGCAGTAACTGATATCAATTATGCAGTTCCCCCGATACAAATTTCTTAAACATCCCCTTCAGTATTTGATTTTTCAACTAGGCTATTCACTTGGAGATGGTACACTGAAGTTAGTAGAAAATGGACCTTCAGTAAGTCCCAGACCTCCCATAGTAACTAGAACATGAAGGCCATATCCTGGTCCATTAAAACCTCTTTAGGAAAAAATCCCAGGAGAAAATCTATAGTAACTCCATGCCCATCATCTGTGCTGTTGCCAAGCAGATTGTCACTGCCTTGAGATAGCGGGTGGCATAGTTGACCAGGACCAAAATGAAACTGGATCCCCTTGAACTGGGCTTTGGTGGTCCCACCAAGTCTACCCCACCCCACTCAAATGGTATGCCAATTAGTGGGACTGTCACCAGCCTGGCCTTTTGGGTGAGCCGGGGGCAACCAGGTAGCACTTGGGGCAGGATATACAGTAGTCTTTGACTTCCTGATATATTCCAGGCCAAAAAACCCCCTTGCCGGCACTCTATCCTGGGTCTTTCCAGTTTTGAGCCCCACGCTTTAAGAAGGATGTAGGCAGTTTGGAAAGAGTCCAGCAACAAATGGACAGAACAACAAAAATGGGGGGCGTGGCAACTAAGGCTCCTGAGGAAAGGCTGAAAGAGCCATTTAGTCCAGAAAGAGAAGACTGAGGGGGAGTTTGATAAGTCTTCAAATACCCGAATGGTGATTACAGAGAGGATCAAGCTGAGCTTTTCTCTGTGGCTGTAAGGGACAGGACTAGGAACAACAGCCTTATAAGAAATTGAAGTTGGAGATTAAGAGGAACTTTCTGACTCTGAAGTTGGTCAAACATTGGAACAGGCTTTCTGGAGAAGTTGTGAAATCCCCACTATTGGAAACGTTCAAAAGCAGGTTAGACAGACACTTGGCTGGGATGGTTTAGTCAGGGCTGATCCTGCCTTGAGCAGGGGGCTGGATCAGATGACTTCATGAAGTCCCTTCCAGCCCTACTTTCCTATGATTTCCTATTTCCTACCCCCAAAGGACTCACCAGGGTACACCATTTGCCAGTTTCAACACCTGGCAAAGGTACTGGTATTGTTTCAGGACCAATATTTGGGACCACTAGGCTGAAGTGATCTTGTTCTTGGTCACCCTCATGAGGAGATTCACCTGAAGCTCAAAATGGGGTTCCTAAGCTGCTAAACATGCATCTGCTATAGCCCCATTGACCCATCCCAACTGGCCATACAGAGGGGCATGCACCCGATCTTCCCTTTGATCCCAGATAAAATCTCAGCTCTCTCCTACCTGATCTAATCCACTCTCCTGATGACTGTAGAGGTCCCCTGATGCTCTGCTTCCTTTGAAACGGGGTTCAGATTGCACTGCACCCCAACCCCCTTCCCAGAGCATTTTTCTGGCTGGTGAAGGCCTCCCACCTGATCTGGCATCACAATCTGTGAGACCTAGGTTGCAGTCCAAAAGCCTCTGGATCCAAAAAGAAAAATCTCCCCCCTAGTTCTGGTTCTGCAAGTTTGGGATCCACCTGGGTTTTATCCATTCTCCACATCAACTGGATCAGCTTGGTCATGAATCCCCAGTCTTGCCCTACAATCATAGGGTAGGCTAGATGGCAGGCCACCACTGCTCTTATGCATCCCTCCTGTCTCCCAGTGGGCAGGCTCAGGTGGGCTAGGGGGTATGGTTGGGTATCCCCATGAATGCATGCAATATACGCCCACACACCTACTGGGACTTCCGCCAGACTAACACACTGCTTGTATACAAACATTTGTCCAGAGCCCGAGTCCATGAGTCCTACTACATGATATCCTCAGTCATCTCTACAGGGACCTCATATCCCCTTGGCTCTAGGCTCTCTCATCTTGCCTCTGAGACCAAGGTGTGCAAATATCCACAGTCCATCTGTAAGCAGTCCTGATATCTGTACCCTTTTTCTTTTCATTGGAAGCATGTCATCTGTGCCTCCCTTCCTATGCCTGAGCTGTGGGGATGCCCCAGGTGGCCTCCTTCTGCAAGGCTCTTTTCCTGTCTGGAGCCTTGAGGGAGACAGAGATAACACCCCTACCAGAGCCACCCTAGACCCCTGTATCATTTGTCATGGAGTCCTGTCAGTTTCCCTGGAGTTCCCAGTAATTTAAGTCCACTGCCCTCCATGTGGTTTCCTCCAGGATGGCCACGTGGTGGCAGTACACCCACTTCTGGACTTTTACTGGGAGGATGGAACAGAATTGTTCCAACACCATGAATTCTATGACCTCTGCTGCAGACCAGGTGTTCAGGCTGAGCCATCAGGTACTTAAGTCTTTAGCTTCTGGGCCATAGCCCAGGGCTACACATTTGGGTCCCAAGCCTCCTCCCAGAACTGGCAGCAATAAGCCTCTTTCATGAGTCCCAACTGGTCCAGTATAGCTACTTTGAGGGCCCCATCACCTTGGGCTGAGTTTGCTCTCATGACCTGGTAAGTAGCCTGCATGTCCCCAATCAACAAGAAAGTCACTCACAGCCCACATGTCCTGTGGTCATTGATATGTCTCTGCCACCCACTCAGACACGGTGAATTTGAGCCTTCGGATCATCTTCCAATCCCATCTTTGTGAGGACTCCTCCCTCTGCCCTCAGGGAACCCAGCAACTCACCAATGTGGGCAGGGGTCCATCTCACATTCAATTGCTGTATCAGGAACTCCTTGCTGCTACTGCTCTTGCCAAAACTGCTGCAGTTTTTGTTTCTGCTCTCCCTGGAGTTGCTGTTGCTAGGTTTGGAGCTGCTGTAACAGCTGTTGCTGCTTCAGTCCCTCCAGCCATTTTAGCAGGGTTCCAGTCTCCATGGCTGACGTCGGGGTTTACACTGCCCATTCTCCCCCATGTGTAGCAGGTTGTCATTTGGTTCTTTGATTTTTTCCTGGGGCAAACTTGTTCCTACAAGAAAAACACTGTCTATAACAAAGCAAGCATTAAGCAAGCAACAATACAATCAACAAAGGGTTAACACAGCTATGGTCCTTCCTCAAACCTGAATAGAGGACACCATGGCTTGGGGCTACCTCCTCTGCACCACCTCTTCCCGGTCTCACCCAGCTTCCCTCCCTCAGAGCTTTTAACTTCTCCTGGGATTAGTAAGCATCCATCTCAGCTGGGCTCCATCTACCTGAGCAGATAGGTTATTTGTCATTAACCCCCTGCAGCTCAGCTCCTGCCCCAGAACTTATCACCTGGTTACAACCCCCTAATAATTAGATTCTGTTTATGGAAAATTTATACATTTATTATAATTTTCCATGTACCGCATCTAATTATTGGAGGTCTGCCTTGAATTTCCCCCCTTCCACTGCTACAGTTGGGAAAACAAATGCCCCCCTTGCCCCCTCTGCCTCTCCATATTCCCCCCTGTAGCCCCTTCCTTTGTCAGATCCTGCTCTCTCTGAGCTAATTAAAGTGAGAGGCAAATTTGAAAACACAGATTTTAAATAAATATGTCTGTAGTAATTTCATTTATCCAGAATTGATGCAGTTCACCTTCTTGAAACCACTACAAGTTTTGGCACAGGTACTCCAGAAAAACCCTTTAAGAAGCACTTTTGTACCTACTTATATAGAGTACAAGCTATATATGATATTACCCTGAAGCCAAAAGGCTCATAATTTACCAGAGTTCATATGCCTAGGCCCCAGCAGAGTCAACAGTGTTTCAGGCTATGATGACCCCATAGCTCAGCACTGCTGCATGTGCATGTGCACTCCAGATACCCCCCACAAAGGATCCATGTGCTAACTTAACCCCCTATTCATGACCAGAACTGGATGTTCTTGTAACAAATCATCCTGGGATCCTCCAAAAATTTATTTGCAGATGAGGTTCAGGGCAACTAGGTCTAGCTCTACCTTATGGAGGGGTGGGGGCATACTAATCATATGCAACAGGCTAAGAAAGGGGGAGACAGAGCGATTCTGGATAAACTGTTTAGGACCCCATTCGGAGAGGTTTGCCAGACATTTCAACTCTGGTGAAGAGTCAGGAATCATTGGAAATGGGAAAGAAAGGTGTAGCTCAGTTGTGGGAGTGAAAAGGAATTAAATAGATATAAATGTATCACCTTGACTTGGAAAAAAAAAAAAAGAGTCGATTGTGAAGGGGACTGAGTAAAATGGGCATTATGATGCATCTTATTCAGATGGGCTGAATTAACTTATCCTTGTGGTAAGTTCCCATTAGTATATTTACCCAGAATGGGTCATGTGTTTCATAACCAAGCTCAGTGTTGGCTGCATCTAATCACTGGTAATTTGTTTCTGCTACTGAGAACATGCTGCTTTTTGCAGCAGTTTAATGACAGAGAATGTATTTAATGAAGTTTCCTTGTATGCAAATAAGATGAGGAGCAAAAACCTCATCTTATATTCAAGTAAATACAGTAGTAAAGAGATATTGTGTCATTAGTCCTGTAGTCATTGTGGTTAAACGTACATGTCTCATTCAGATTTGTAAAATCTAGTCTTTTGAGTCTTGACAGTGTCTCCAATAGATCACCGCAGTCATTTCCACACCTGAGTTAATATTACCATACCCAAATTAAGGTTTTTAGCTATAGAATAGAAGAGAGATATGGCTAACGATCAGTATAATTACAGAATGAAAGGTAGTTTGAATGGTGGAACATCAAGACCATTAGAAAGGAGAGAGGGTCCTTAACACTTGTGGAGTGGAGAGAGATTAGCAGGAATCAGGTCAATGATAATGCGCCATGAAGTCAATTGAACCCACCAGGCTCCTGAATAGAAATACTTCTGCCCCTCCCAGGTAGTTGGTTTTAATTTTGGGGTGGAGCAGGAATCCAAGAGGGTGCAACTGTACCATTGCACCCCCTCCCCAAACCACATTGGTTTATAAAAACAAGCCCCTCCTCTACATGTTACAGGTGCTTCACAATTAACTGGTTAATTGCACAGTTATCTTCAGACCAGCTAAACATGAAAGGTAGCTAACACACAATAAAAAGCTCCAACCAGTTATAAAGTCAGACCTCAAAAGCGTATATTAACTTTATAGCTGGTTTCTATTGAACTTTAATTTGCATATGTAGCAGGTTGTTTGGGAGCCCCGGTCAGCTGACAGGCCTCCCAGCCATAGGGGTTCACCTTGCCCAGCATGAACCTCCTGAGTCCTGGAGATCACAGCTGCCATGATTCCCAAGACTCTGGTGTGTGTAAGCCCACACAGGGCTCTCAATCCCAGCTGCACCTTACATGCAGCCAAAATCAACAGATCCAGCAACTGTGGGGCTTCTGGTCCCAGCTGCACCTAAAGTCACTTGTTTGACTCTTGGGCCCAGCTTCAAGTGAGGTGCCACCAGGAGTCCTGTCAGTTGTGGGCCTCTCAGTCCCAGATGTGTGCGATGCACAGCCAGGGCCAGGAGCCCCAGTTCCAGGCCTCTTGCCCCAGCTTTCTGCAACCCCACAGAGCTGGAAGCCCCCTCAATAAAGAGGGCTCCCAGCCATTGGAGCCTGCTTCTTGCCAGTGCAGGAGAAGCCCAGGATCAGGCTCCCCCTGCACAAGCAAGAAGGCATGATTAGATCTTATGTGTGATCCCACAATCACTCCTCCTGCCATGCGCATGTAGTATGGCAGGAGGCAGGGTTGTGTGGCTCACACATGAGATTCAATCACGCCTTTACCTGCACGTGTAGAGGGGGCCCTAGAACCGCACAGGTCTTTGCACTCTCTCATGAATGGGTCGAAGCCTGCCAGCTCTCATTCTCTTCCATCTTGATGGTAGACAGAAATCTAGACAGGGTAGGAAGCTCAGTTTATTCCAACACTACTTCACAATTTGGATTCTCAGAGTCTCTCAGATGTTTCTAGCTACTTATTTAATCATCGTTACTAGAACAGCACTTCAGTCTTTAATATTTATCCTGAATATGGCCCTGTGATGTAGAAACGTGCTATTATCCCCGTTGAGGCAGCTAAGACTCAAATCCAAACAGAGCATATGCTTGGCAGCAGGACTTGGTAGCTTTGGATTTAGGTACTTAAATTTTGCCCATCTAAAAACCCTGCCCAGGTGCCATGCAACTCCACAAGCAGCTTACTTTGTTACCTGAACTCCTCTAGGCTTTCTGGTGCTGGATATGCCCAGAACCACCTCAATCTCAGCAGCTTGGGACTTACCCAAATCAGAATCTAAAAACTAGATATTCCTCTGCCTAAATCACTTTAGAAACTCAGTACCATAGGGATCATTACACCTGAATGAACTGGCTTCCCTACAAAATGCAATTGCCATCACTTGCTCTTAAGATGATGGTGTCACCACTGCTGCCTACTACACATGCCACACAGCTTTGTCATTAGAAAAATCAAAGTAGGTTTAATTACCTTCTCAGCTTGAGGAGTTCAGAGATACAGTTCCCAACTGAGGAGACTAATCTAACTACTAAGCTTATAGCCTGCTCTTGGATGGAGGCATTCTCCACTCCTGTTGAACTGTACCACCACTGCACACAAAAGAACTCAAGATTTACTGAGCCAGAGAGAAGAAAAGAGTGAACATGACTGTAGCTTAATGGTTAGCCTACTCATCTAGGAGAGGGAAGAGTCGGCTTGTCTCCCATCTTCAAGAGCAGCTGGCACATTTTACATAAAGAATCATTGGATAAGAAAGAGATACATTACAAACACACATTGACACATCTGCTGATATTCTTTTTTCCTTTCTTTGAGCCCCAGGATAGTTTTGATCTGATTTTAGTCAGAATTCTTGGCAACGGTTCTGATTATTCTGTTTTACCTGAACTGGTTTACCCATCCCTATTGTTAATCATCCTGATAATCATAGTGCTCTCTGAGCCCTGGCCTTAGAACAAACATGTCAGTAGTCTGGCATGAGTTAGTGACATCTAGCAAATACATTCACTATGATGAATACTGCAGGCAAAAAGACCTGCAGACAAAATAAATAGATGTACCTGTGCATCAACTTGCACATTCTGGAATCCCCCGATGCACTCTTCCATGAAAGGATATTGTGTTCCTTGTCTTCTATGCCTCACTATCCTATTTTGGAAAAGCTGATGCAAGTACTCTTAAACTGTGGCATGTGAAGCACTTCCTGGTAGTCAGAAGAGACCTGCTGGAACACAGAGTGCTAGCCTCTCCATTTTATTAGGTTCTTTTCCAGGTATCTCCATTTTTCCCTTCAACTTGAATAATCAAAATGGGCATCTAGAAGCCAGGTGAGCGAGCGAAGCTCTTTCCACTAGGGGTCACTACTAGATAAGAAGAGATGGATACCCTCAGTGGAGAAGCCAATTGGATAGGAAATATCAGTGGGAGAGGAATGTCAAAAGCAGCAGTAAGCCAGGCACATGGGGAAGATGCAAAACAAAAAATAAAGGTATCGTATGCAGGAATAATGATAAATAACTGAACATTATTTCCTGGCCCACCACAAGTCCTTCACATGAAGGTAATCAGTACCCAGTGCCTACCATTAACATTTTCCTTGTTTCTTCAAGTGTAAATAGAAAATATGATATCTATCTAAAACCACCACTACCAACAAAAAATCAGCCACCAAGATCTTGGGTCACAGGCCAGTGTAGACAACCTGACTGCACCAACAAAATGATTCGTGCCTTTTCTTGCATGTAAGAGCATAAGGCTGAAAGGGGCCTTTTAAAGGCCATCAAGTCTGGAGCCCTGTGTTTGCAAGCCACCTTTGTCCAAAAGCATCCACAAGACTGGCCACTTTGATTCCCCTTGCATGCCATAGCCACAAAGCAGACAGGTTACAACATGCTACAGCTGACTGGCTCAAATGATTCTCAGCATAGGACCATACTTTACACCAGAAAAAGGCAAACGAAGAACCACTATTTTTTTTCCAGATTGACCCTGGGGGAGGGAAATCTTTTCTGAC